AGTCTTCCCAGGCTTCCCTCCACCAGATTGGTCTGGCTTGCGCACAGTTTTCGAATGGCATTCTGCAGCTCGGTGCCCTTCTTTACCGCTTTTGAAGCAGGCGGTTGAACGTGGTGCCATTGTGGGGGGTTTTGCCACCTCTCGTTTTCCCTCTGGATGGAGCGTCTCCATGCTCGGCCAAACCATCATTGACTTTGGGCTTGATTGATCTCGGCTTCCTCAGCCAGGATGCACCAGTCGTGGAGGCGATCCGGATCTCCCTGGGCGATGCACACGTGGTATAGATCATTGTTCAGCCCGTCTTTGAAATGGCCAACTAGGACTTCCTCCAGCCAGTTGAGGCAGCATGCCAGGTCTTTGAACTCCTCCGTGTACTCGGCCACCGGGCAACGACCTTGCCTCACCATTTTGATGCGTTCTCTGGCTTTCCGGTCAGCTAAGGGGTCCTCGAACCTCCGTCTCAAAGCTGCCATGAATTGATTAAAGTTTCGGAGTTCGGGGGCATCAGTGTTATGTAGGGTCACCATCCATCGAGCGGCTGCTCCCTCCAGGGCCATGGTCACCGCCCTGACCCATCCGCTGTAGCTGAGGATATTTTGGTCGTATTCCTCCATGTAACTCAGGACATGGGCTAGGAAAAACCCTAGCTGTTGGGGTGCCCTGTCGTAGTTCACACCCAAGAGTGGGACTTTCCGGTCGGGCCGGTGGGTCCTCCTCCGTCTGGCTCTGCGTCCGTCTCCCCCAGCTGGGGTAGCCCGTGCTGGGGTCATGGTTGCAGCCATCACTTCCGTAGCTTCCGAGGCGCTGGTGGAGGGACCAAGATTTGCTAGCTCACCCTCTCGGCATTCCTCCTCCTCCAGTCTCGGCACAACTGAGCCCCGGCAGGGGTCTGCTTCTTCTTCTTTAAGGTTTTTGAAAGCTTCCACCATCAGGTTGATGGCTTGTTTAAGGAAGTGATCAGACCAGGTTGGTCTCTCGTCTTCCCCCTCGCTGAGGTTGAGTGACCTCTCCATCTCTCGCTTCCACCCCGGTTGATGGCTGCCGCGTTTGAGGGTAACCTTTCTGGCTTTTGCTTCCCAGTCTTCCTTTTTCCCCATGCCTATTGACCATCTCAACTTTTCCCGATTCTCTCTGGTCTCGGCTTTATCAGATGAACTGGAGGAATCCAAGCTACTGTCGCTCAGGCCAACCTTGGGGGGAGCTTCCCTGCAAAGGTTGCTTTCTCCTTTCTCACCGCTGTGGTTCGACATCGCTTTGCATGGTCCCCACGGTCCAGAGGTAAGGCAGATGGCCGGAGGCACATTCCATTCTCACCCTGAGAAAAAAACATCAAAGAGGATAGAGCAAGGAACAAAGCAAAGGAAATACACTGTAGCAGCCCCAAGCTCCCCTTCCCTCTCCCAGAAGATTGGCAGAACCCTAAAAGAAACAGAATCCCCAATGCATATAGAGTGATGGGTTCTGACACTACTGCTGCATTTCTTACTGGGGTCGCTGAGGGTACTTAGTGTGGAACTTCTTAACCAACCTTGATGCCCTAACATCAGGATCAGCACCCCACTCAGCATCTGCTAATGGGTAGCCCTTTAGGTATTGTAGGTATTGTAACTTTCCCTTGTAGTATCTGGAATCAAGGATCTTTTTGACCTCATAATGCTGCTCTCCCTTAACTGGGATGGGAGGAGGAGGTGGTTCTTTGACTGGCCTCAATCCAGAGTCTCAGAAGGGTTTTAAATGACTACAATGAAATACTGGATGAACCCGCCTGAGGCTTTTTGGCAACTTCACCTCCACCATCACCGGATTTATGATCTGGGGGATTTGGAAAGGCCCTATATATTTGGGACCTAACTCCTTCCAAGGTTGCCTCAGGTTCAAATATTTTGTGGACAAGTACATCTTATCCCTTCTCTCTGGGAAGCTCTTCTCTGATCTGCTTGCCTCTTTTGAATTTCCTTAGCCTTGTTCTGCGCCTCACGCACAATGCCCCGCATGGCTTTCAAAGTATCCATCCACTCAGCCAATGACACTGAGGATGGGGTTTCCTGTAGGAGCTCCAGCATGGGTGTGAACCCAGTCCCCCTGGCCACCTTGAAAGGGGTAAAACCTGTGCTACTGTGCACCGAGTTATTATATGCCACCTCCATGAAAGGCAGGAGTTTGGCCCAGTTAGTCTGCTGATAATTCAAATAATAGTGCAGGTATTATCTCTACCAAAGAATTAGTACATTCAGCAGCTCCATTAGTACTAGGATGTTAGGTGGAGCTAAGTCCCTGGGAGGAGCCTATCATTTTCAAGAACTCCCGCCAAAACTTTGCTGTGAACTGCACCCCCCTATCCAAGATAATGTGCTTCAGGACCCTGTGTAGTCTGTAGATGCGCTGCACAAACATCTTGACTAAGACCCAGGCTGAATGAATCTTCAGACACACCACAAAGTGTGCTTGCTTCGAGAACAGGTCAATGACAGTCCAGATTACAGTATTCCCAGCACTCTCAGGCAGCTCCACAATAAAGTCCATGGATATCTCCTCCCATGGGCTAGCAGGGTTGGCTACCTACTGTAGCAAGCCTGGAGGCTTCCCAGGGTAGGAGCTTCATGGAGGCACACACAGGGCAACTGGCCACATAGGCTTCTATGTCCGTTTTCATCTTTGGCCACCAGAACTGTCTCTTTGCCAAATGAAGGGTTTTTACAAACCCAAAACCTCTCAGTATCAGTTAACTTGCGAGATGTATAGGCAAAGGGCTGCAACTGCCCCTTTTCATTCCTCTGGAGTAAAACTGCCCCCACTGCCACATCACTAGCATCCGCCTGGATTATGAAAGGATCATCTGGGTTTGGTTGTTTCAAAACTGGCTCTGCAGCAAAGAGCCACTTCAGTTTTTCAAAGGCCGCTTGGCATTCTATGGACCAGTTTAGTGGCTGACTCGGTTTGAGTTTCACCCCTCCCCTCGTCTTGAGCAGGTTGGTGATGGACAGGGCTATCTGGGCAAAAGTGGGGATGAATTGCCAATAAAATGTTTGTGGGACTATCGGTTAAAAAAAAGAAGTTAGAAAGTCTGATGGAACTTTTTTTTTTTACCGATAGTCCCACAAACATGCGGTGAAGGCTGAGAAGCGAACGGAGAAACGGAATGCAGCTGAAAGGCAGGTTAGTAAAAATATGCTTGGGGGAGGCGAGGGCATCTGGGCTGGGGCGGGCGCGGCAACCTTACCCTTCATGGTGGCAGGAGGGTGGGGCGCGTTCCCTTCCCATGCCAGGCCAGCCCCTGCAGCCCTGGGGCGGCCGTGCTAGGCGGCGGTGGGCAGGGTGTTGAGGTGGGGGCTGGCAGGCCGACCAAAGCAGCAGGTGGCAAGCTGTGGCTGCTGACGGACACAGTTGGCCCCCATGTGCTCGCTGTGTGAGGGGGCCGATGGTGTCAGGCAGCAGCCTCCCCGGTCCCTGCCTTGCCTTGCCTTGCCTTGCCTTGCCTTGCCTTGCCTTGCCTTGCCTTGCCTTGCCTTGCCTTGCCCCTGCCCCTGCCCCTGCCCCTGCCCCTGCCCCTGCCCCTGCCCCTGCCCCTGCCCCGGCATGGCACCCCTGCCCTGCCCCCTGCCTGGTCTCACCTCACCCCGCAGGATGAGCCTCCTGCCCACCGTCCCACCCACCAGAGACACCCTGGATCTCCCCCAACCCTGCCCAGCCCCCACAGGCGTCCCTCCCCATGAGCGACATCGAGGTGGCCATGCCCACCCCAGCCACACCCACCCAGTCTGCCATGACCATGGCAGCCACGCCCACCCAGTGGTCACGCTCACCCACTGGGCCACACCCACCCAGCACCTGACAATAAATAAGTGGGGTTTGGGTTGCAGTTTGGGCACTTGGTCTCTAAAAGGTTCGCCATCACTGCCCCAAGTAATCTAGGCTGGTCTTGTGAAAGTCACATTTAGACAGCTTCGTGTTTAACTGGGCTTTTTGTAACTTCTCAAGCCCTGCGCTCACTAGCCTTACATGCTCTTCCATGGTCTCAGTATAAATTAGTATAAATTAGAATGTCATCTAGGTACACCAGCACCCCTTTATACAGGTGTTCATGCAGGACAGCATAAGACAGCAATGGATGCTTGAATACCATTCTCCCACCCCTGCATTCCATCCACCCCCTCCCTGTTATTGTCAAGCTGTGAGCGAAGGAAAAATGTAGGTGAAAATGCAAGTCAATCTTGACAGGCCTTGGCAACTTTAGCAAAGGGTGACACTTCTAATTCTTCACATAAACTTCTTCTCCCAGTAGAAAGTTGACCGAAGTCAATCAAAAAGTATCTTGTGCAGAGAAGGAATAATAAAGATGCCAAGATGGCAGAGGGCACAGTTTGATTCTTGAGATATTGCCACCTGAACACTCTTAAATGTTTAAAAAGAGTAACTTTCTGGCAGTGCTCACAAACACTGGTCATTTTCCTGGCACTTAATTTTATTAACAATCATCAGAAATATCCAAATGAAATGAAAGTTGACCTCCCAATTTATTTATGTATTATAATTTTTATTTTGCGGTCACAGACCAAAATGCAAGTACAACAAAAGAAAACACAAGAAAAATATATCACAAACAATTAAACACCAGAAGCCTTGGCTAAAGGGAATTACAACGTTCTCCTCTGGTACTTACAGCTATTAAAAGAAATTTAGAAACCTGAGAAGTAATATAGGAGGAGCCATCCCCTAGACAATATAAAACCAAATTACTAACATTAGAACCAGAGGGATCAATTCCAAGGAGAGACAATAATTTAATTCTGCCTGTGTTATACATAGGGCAGTATGATAAGACATGCTCCACAGGATTTATGTATTTATTTATCTTTAGAAAATGTTTTGCCTGATTTTTATTGTTTAAAAAAATTGTAAAGCAAGCCCTTTATTTGTGATATGCAAGCATAAGCTTTTGGGCTTCCAGTTTTATGTATGAAAACCAGAGGAGTTAAACTCACTATGTCTTCCTTTGGCAGCTCCAGATCAAGCATGCTGTGACTGAGGCTGAAATACAGCAGCTGAAAAGAAAGGTAAGAATGAAGGCTGTGAGGGCAGCTGTAAAATCCTTTGCTTCTCTTGTAGACTTGCCAAAATCCCTTCTTGAGAATGTTTTCTAGGAAGGCTGTGAGAGCTGGCTCTGTGGATATGCCTTGTAAATAGCTGGACTATTTTTAATATTGCTGTGCAAAGCATTTGAAATGGGGTGGGCATTTGAAAGACTTCTCTTTGAATTTTCAAGGCAGCCAATTGGGAAGACATGGGCACGATCTATATTCATCTTTTGCTCAGTGGGTAGTCCTAGACTGGGCACTATCATTGGTGTTTTTGTTTTTATTTTTTGGTAAAGTTAGAGTGACCCCATATAAACTATTTGAGGTGCCACCATGGCAATTGTATGGATTCAGTACAATTTTTCCATAGGTAATTTTATTTTCTTCATTGTTTTCACTTTTCATGTCCAACTGAACTGCTAGGATGCTACCATTTGGAATTTCTGTCTTGTCATGCCTCCCTGCCTTGTTTCCCATGCCTAGTCCCTCTGTCAAATGTTGGAGAGCATCTCCTAGTTTATTGCTTGCTGATTCCTTCTGGCTCCTCTGAACTTTAATTGGAATATGTTACTCTTGCTTTTTCCTTTGCTCTTACTTACCTGTCATTAGGACAGTTATTTTGTTAATGTTGCCCTACACTAAGGGAAATGTATGCTATGCAAGTGTAGTTAGCTTATCAATTAATACTTAACTATTTCCTCTCTCTTGCATTCTCTGTCCTCAGCTACAATCAATTGAACAGGAGAAAGCTCAATGGCTCATTGAGAAAGACCAGCTAGAACAGAGAGTGGAGGAAAACAAGGAGCGGATGGAGAAGCTGGAGGGATACTGGATGGAGGCTCAGAACTTGTGCCAGGCTATGGATGAGCACTTAAAAGAGACCCAGACCCAATACCAGACTCTGGAAAGGAAATATAGCAAAGCCAAACGACTTATTAAGGAGTATCAACAGAAGTAAGAACTGACATGTCAGAGCCACTCCATAATTTTCAACCTCCATCCCTTTCAGCAAAGCCATTTCCAAAGTTAGACTACTTGGATTAGCACTCTACCATCCAATGGGATAGGTAGGGACATGGAACAAATCAGGTTACCGAGAATGGGGAGCATGCCTGATCAAGCCACCTATCAAAATAAGCATAACTCCACATGATTTCTTAAAACACCTGTAGTAGTTGTAATATGATTTTTAAAAATTAAGCTGTGCGCTCTTGATAAAGGATGTTAGACAGATAGGGAAAAATGGGCCTTCCTGCCTTCTTTTTATTAGTTATCTACGAAGTACTAACCAAACGTCTTCATTTCACAGCTTGGGGGATTCTTTTCACAGAATATTTGGAATTTAGGTAGAAACCATACCCTGATTTATATAAGTGGGGTGGGATCGTGAGATGATTGAAAAGGCTATTCCATTTCAATAGGTATGAGGGAAATACATGTTTAATGTTTCTCTATATAAACCATTTGTTGCAAATAATACTGCAAAGGAGAAAAATATATTACTGTTTTTCTGCCCAATATATGAATGTTGAAGGTCATTACACTTATGGTGAGGATTTTTGATTATGGAGAAAGCATTTAAATTTGATGTGTTCCACCAGTGACTGAAATAGAAAAGGTCACTCTATCATTCTAGGATTCTACTCTGTTCTGTTGGGTGTATTGAACAGATTGATTAGACTTCTTTAAAAGGGCCCAAGCCCAGAGACAAGACAGATACAGTCAAGTCTAATCCTTTATTTGCTTGCACCTAATAGACAGAATCTTGCCAAACTAAAGCTACAATTTTCTTAGCTACTACCATGTTTCCCCGAAAATAAGACCCGGTCTTATTTTTTTTCCTCCAAAAGAGGCACCAGGTCTTATTTTTTTTGGGGGGGGTGTCTTTTCCACTCACCTCACGGCGGCACCAACAGCCCCGCCCAGCCAGCCCACTTCTGCAGCCAAAGGAGCAGCTTCATTCTGTAGCTGAGAATGGAGCTCAGGTCTGCATTTCACAGTCAGAGGCCTTTCCGGAAGGCCTGTGCAGCCGATAACCAAGCTTCTTGGCTGCATTGAATCCATAGCTCTGTTCTCGGCTGCATAGGCCTTCTGGAAAGAATATTTAGGAATATGGCTCACCACATGCCATGCAAATGCAAGTACAACCTCTGCCTAAAAGAAGTTGTCTCTACTCTAAGAAATGTTATGCTGTCATGATCAACCTCTTTTCACCATTGGATAGTGTCTGCATTTCTGACTTTGGTTTTAACCCCCACCCCCTTTCTCCACTTGCAGAGAAATTGAGTTTCTTAAGAAGGAGACAACTCAGCGTCACATCCAAGAGGAGTCTGAATTATCTCACAAAGAGGAAGTTGACAAGTTGCAAGAGAAGGTGGGCATCGAGGACAGTGCTGAGGGCTTACCATGAGCCCAGAAGGAGAAAGAAGGAAAGGGATTTGCTATGACTGGAGAAGCCTTCTGCCCCAGGATGCATGAGAGAATGCTTGCTGTTGGAAGCACCTAGCTGTAAATATGAACCCTTGTCACAAGACTGACAGATGGGGAAGGAGTCTAGGACAACTCGCCATGGACAAGTTGCCATGGCCAAGTCGCTGTAGGACAACTCTCCATAGGACAACAGTTACACTAATATTGAAGAAATGGTGGAATAGAATCATTAACGAAAGGATGCAAAAGGAGGGACAAAATGAAATGTGAATGACAAAAATTAAAATATTTTTTAAATTATTTTAAATAATTGAATTGTTGAATTGTCCTGTGGCGAGTTGGCCCATGGCAAGTTGTTGTGTGGTGAGCTGTGTGGCGAGTTGGCCGTGGCAAGTTGGCTGTAGTAAGTTGACCGTGGCAAGTTTGCCATGGCAAGTTGGATCTTACATCAGGCAGTGTTACCTTATCAGATTTGTCAGGGTGTTTTCATGCTTCTGTTATGTTAAACATTGATGCATGTGCATGCACATATGTTTGTGTGTGTGAATAGCCCTGAGTTTCTGTCATAGGAATGCCTGATATGAGAGTGAAGTGAAAACCTTTTCTGTGAGTATCTTGGAAACTCTAATGACTATTTATTCACCAGCTCCCTCTGCAGTGCGTTGTTGGAAATTCAGCTCCTAAAAGATATAAACCAATATATTATATTTATACCTTTTTAAAATGGTCTTCCCCTGTACTTGCCATCCTGACCCTGATGTTGGAAAATGATCCATAGATTATTAGTTACAAAGTAAAAGAGTGAGGATCACAGGCATAAAAGCCAAAGTGAGCAGAAATCAGCGCTACTTTTTTGAAGGAACTAAACCTTAGTTTTACATAGATTTGTGCAGTGGTTTTGTTCCTGGGCTGCCGGATAGAAAAATAACAGAATTGGGCAACACTTGCTATGATTGTGGTGGCTGGACAAAGTGAGAGTATGACCTTGGGATAGGCCAGGCAAGACTCCAAGCTAGTATATCCCAGAGAGAGTTTTTGTATGCAAAAGAATAAACTGGTCTGGTCTACATGTATGAGGTAGTAATTGATTACAGAAAAAATAAAAATCAGCTGCCTCAATCTAGATTGTAGATAATGGCTTCTTTGTTTTTAAATTCCTCTGTTTCAGAGTGCTGAAAACAGTGTAAAGCACTATGGAGCAGTATATAAGTCTAAGTGCTACTGCTATATTCAGATACAAATGTAGACCAGACCTAGGTCTTAAATTAAGAATGGTTTAATTTAAGAATGGCAGAAAGGACTAGTGGAGAAGGATGCTTAGTTATGTTAGACCTTGTCTCCTTTACATAGCTTAATTAAGAGTGCATTCCCTCACTGTTTTTGAAATCTGGACAGTTTTAACCTTTATCTCATGAATATAAGCATTACAGATCATTATTGTACATGGCATTGATTGCAGCATAACTCAACATAACACAACATTCATTTTTTTAAGGAGTTTGACCTTTATTCAAGCAACAAATTCAAGGTTTTAGCTCTGTTTTCCCAGTGATTGCCCCATGATCTCTCTTTTTCCAAACATTTCTTTCATCATCATCACTCCAATGTTTTCTCCTTGACCTGCTTCTCATATATATTGCTGAACAACATTTTCTTCTCTCATTCTCTGTTTTGGCACAGTAGCTGATTGTTCATAAAGTTTCTAAAACAAGTACTTTGATGGACCGTGCTGATGGAATTGGGCAGCCTATAAATAAATAAAGGATGCAATGGCAAGAATTTTGAGACAAGTGTTAGAAGGAAGAATAGCCAAAATTCAGTTTCCAGAGATGCTGAATCTATTTACGTACTGCAGTAACTATTTCTAAGACAGCAGTGTTCAAGTCAATCTTGAAAATAGAAATGTGGTCTTTGTAATGTTGTCTCCCATGGGCATGCCAAAAATCAAGGATCATAGGAGCAGTCCAACATACAGATAGCCAAAGTCTGGGGAGCTCATTGCCTATATGGCTACACCTCCATTATTTTATATCAATTATGGTTTTTCATATTCTTCAAAGGTAGCCCTAATGCATTGTAGTAGTCTAACTATGATAATTGACCACACCAAACCACACCAATTCAAGAAAGTTTGTTCTTGATGCAGAAAGCATAGTTGCATAAATGCATTCCTTGCCATAACTACTACTTGAAGATCTAAGGTAACCATTGAATAAAATAGATGGCCAAGCCACAGACCTGCTTTTGTGGATGTGGACGGTGCAGCCAGTTCTCTAACAGGTGGAATTCCTGTCCCCAAGTGTGACCTTTTATAGGCCCCATTTCAAAGTAATTCATTATTATTGTCAAGGATTTACATACATCCTCTCACATATAACAGATAACTATCTGAAAGTATAATAGCACTATTGTGGGAGGTGAGTCCATTTTTAAAAAAATTATTTTAGTAAGGGTTCATTTCTTTCGTTCTTGCTGAATGAAAAGCAGAGGTATCTGGAAATATCTGTGCCATGTTGCATAACTTGCAGTCCTCCAGTTTTTTCTAATTCATGCCTTCAACCCCAGTCAGTGTGCTCAGTAACGAGGGGTGCTGGGATGATAATTCCAACTATAAAAGGAATTGATGTACAGCAGCGCAACAGGGAATGAAAATGGCATGAAAACAGATTGTAAACCTAAGCCATTTGAAATCTGCAGTAAACAAATTCTCCCAGTCATATACATACTTAGCATTACCCTTACTGCCCTTCACCTTGATCATTTTTTCTTACCACTTTTTCCTTTAGCCATTTACTATTATCTGTGACACTGAGCCAGCCAGTCCATTGGTTTCTTCAGCCACATTATGTGCATTTCTTTCCTGAGTTGTCCTATCTCTTCCCCATCCCAAATCCTCCTTACTCTGCCTGGAGAATTTTTCTTCATCTCTTTCTGTTATGTGTTTTTCAGATTTCTGAACTGGAGGCGAAGCTGCAGACTTTGAAAAATTCCATCATGACTTAAAAAACAAGTGAGAGAGCAGAAAAATATATAAACCAACCAGAGAAATGAATTCATCTTCTCTGATTATGATTATGGTTCGTCACACAGTCAGATGTTCAGACTGGATTTGGCATTTTGTCTGCCTATTGAGTCCTTCCCAGTTATTATTACTATTATTCGCAAGGGACAGTCTTTATTCTTCCCTCAGCCTGTGCCTTGTTCCCTTTATTTTACTGCAGGGAAAATACTGTAAAGCCCAACACAATCAGAAGAACTACTACAGCAAAAGTAATAAATGGCCTTGCTACCTGTTGAGTATGGAGGAAAGAGGCTGTGAAAGACCAGGTGGGGTGGTAAAATTCTAGATGGACCCACCTCTTGATGGTGATGAATCATTGTCAATTTCTGTGTCTGGTGTGCGTCTTGTGACAACTGAAGGAACAGACCATGGAGGACAGGAAAGTGGTTACACGTGTCCAGCGATTTGTGTTTTCTGTCCCATCTGCGTGATGAGAATCTTATGGATTGGGACCAATGCCCCACTTCTATACATTGACTTGTTGGCTCGTCAGTTCTGCAAGCAACAGACTGGAACATAGAAAGACTCTGTTGGTGACAAATAAGACCAGCAGTTTTCATTTTGCTTTCTGAATCTTAATCTTTTGAGCCAGGGGGCTTGAAGAGGTGGAGGGTGGGAAACTTATCTAGCTTTGAGATTGGAAGATCTTGCCTTTAATTTCCATCCTTTGAACAACTTGGAAACCATTATTCTCTGTGTTTTGTGGTGGGAAATATATCTCATTTCAAAGGAGTGAGTCAACAGGGTTTGCTGACCATCTTTGGAACAGAACAGAGGCTGTGGCCTCCAGAATCACTGCTGGTATCTGAAAAGACAGCATGATTGACTTTTACATCAGGGAAGAAATATTGGCCTGTTTTTCTTTTCTTCATTACATTTTCTTCACATTACTTTGGAAGATTCCTGGAAATCTGCATTCTGGAGACTAACAAAGTGGACTGTCCCAAGGGACTTGAGGGATCAGACATAACTGCTGAGAGCAAATATATCAAGGCAGCTGTAGTCAGGAAATGAAGCCAGAAATTTTAGGAAAACATGGAACTGCCGTTCTATATTTGCCAGAAGGAAACTCCAGAGCCCACCAGTTTCTGCTGAATCCATCTCACCACTGTCAGCATCAGGGTTTGTTAGGGAAATGGGAATCTGGAACTAGTTTTTAATTTTTTTTATTAAACTTATATGCTGGTCATCTTGCCTAGAGGTGTCTCTAGGCAGCTTACAATCATAAAAACCCACAAGATAAAATATTAAAGCGTTAAAGCAAATATTAACACTAAAATTGAGTTAAAATTGACAAGATGGGAAGGAAGGGAGCAAGATGCACATGGGGAGGAGGTGGGGTCTCAGTCCATTAAGCACCTCCAGAATTACATGCCATCTGGCAGAGCCAGGTCTTCAAGCCCTTTTGGAAGGCCAAAAGAGTGGGTGCGGGTCTCACCATGAGGGGCACGATGTCCCAAAGGACAGGAGCTATTAGTTGGGAGCAAAAAATGAAAACAAAGCCCTGCTGGTCAAAAGCAAAGTGCACAATGAATCTTGTCCTTTAATGGTAAGCATTATTGCCTCTTGTCTTCATTCATTACATCACCCCCAGGTCTGAGGACCAGTGCACAGGTCCAGTTAGTGCTGGGGTTTAGAATTGGCCTCTCTTGTTGGCATACAGCTTTCCCTGGCAGTGACACAGTGTCTTCTGAGCTATTGTTGCATATGGTTACCCTGTCAGTATCTTAACTTCAGCACTTTTCCGAAAGAACAGCATAGGCAGTAACTGCAGGAAGGCCCAAACTTCTGTGACACCTTAGCTACTTGGGAGTTCTTATGCCACAGCAGTTTTGAACTACCGTATATCAGGTGCTGGTGGTAGGTTACAGAAGCTGTCCAAGGTACCACAGGACTTCAACTCCCCCCCCCCAACCCCTTCACTTAATGAAGCGAAACTACAGTAAATGTTACAGTTGTTATTCCATGTTCCTGCATGCTTATGAATCATGAGCTAGGAAGCAATATTCCAGCAAGCTATTCATTCAGAAGCAAAATATTACACCACAGAGAAGAGATTGCAAAATAACATTTCCATGGAATAGCAAGTCCTTAATGAGCACCACAAGTCTGGAAATCTTCTGTATTCTGTCAGTTTCATGGACAGTTTATAAGATATGCAATGTTAGTGTGAAGGATACTGGGACTAATGGCCAGTGTTTTATGCAGGATAATATTAAAAGAGTAAGAAAAAAATACAAGATCTATTGTGAAATATAGCATGATGAAACTCAAGAAAGATAGCCACAAATGTTTTCTCTATCAATGGACTTTGTTTACACAATTTACAGTACTAAGCCATACTGTAGTTTGTTTGACATTTACCATGTGCAAATCCAGCACAATTGAAGCTTAGTCTATAAACAACAGTAAACATACCATGATTTACATGATGTGTGAAACCAGACTTGTTATTTTCTTGGACAGAATTTGTTTGTTAGTTACTCTGGCCCATTCTTGTGCCTGGATTTTTGCTAAATCTTGTATTATGTAAATAATTTTTAAACATGCACCAATAATCAAGTCCCATATAAGATTTTGCATATAAAGTAAGCTGATGAGAGTTGAAAAGCATGAAAGTTCCTTCCCTTGCTGGTGTTCTCCAAGTGTGTCAAGTTACAGTTCCCATGATTCCAAGCCAGCATATGAGTGTTGTAGTACAGCACATCCAGAAGAGACCAGGTTGGCAAAGCTTCCAGAAACAACTGTTCCAGATTGTTTTTTCTTCTTGTTTTAAAGTACGTAAAAGGTGGGGAGGGCAAAGCATGAACTTTCTCTCATTCAACTACAGCACCACCTATTTGGTTATACCAGGCTCATCCTGGTGATGTTAAGCCTTAACAGTATTTTTAATAGCTGTGCGCCCAAAGTTATTTCATATCTTCCATGAGAACTGGCAGTAGAAGTACAGGTAGCCCTCAACTTACAACAGTTCATTTAGTGACTGTTCAAAGTTACAATAGCCCTGAAAAAAGTGACTTATAACCATTTTTCACATGACCATTGCAGCATCCCCATGGTCACGTGATCAAAATTCAGATGCTTAGCAGTGTCTGTGGGTCACATGATCACCTTTTGTGACATTCTGACAAGTAAAGTCAATGGGGAAGCCAGATTCACTTTACAACTGTGTTATTAACAAGTGTGGCAAGAAAGGTCGTAAAATGGAGCAAAATTCACTTAACTGTCTCGCTTAGCAACAGAAACTTTGGGCTCAATTGTGGTTGTAAGTCGAGGACTACCTGTATATTTTGTAAAGTTGTTTCAGGAAAAATAACATTTTTCGTCAAAAGAAATCAAAATTATGCTGCTTCAAAAGTTTGGAATTAATTATTTTAAAATAGTACTCTGTCAGTAAAAGTCTGGACTGTTATCTTCAGAATTGTCATATTGTTCTGGTCCCAGGATAGTTCCTTCATATACTGTAATTTCAGAGAGGTATTCTTTACTTCTTTTGGATTAATACTGCTATGGAAAAAAAGACATCAGTGATAATAGATACTGAGTATCATGGTCTGCATTATAGTAGTAGGTTTATTTTGAAGGATGATGACTCTCTTCATTTATTTCTCCAGGACTCACCCAGACAATTCCAGATCCTATGATGAGGACATGTGGTTTATTTGTGATAAAAATCATTCATTGATTCTTCATAATTTGGAATTCAAAGGTTTGGCTATTTATGATGGGTACAAATTGTTCACAAGATGCATATTCAAGAAGATCACTTCCTAGGGTTAGGTTAATTTTTGCATATTTCCATGATCTGTCTATATACTCACATTGGTCAAACAGTGACAAATTGGTGGGTTGTTTTCCAAGTTTTATTTATACATGGAATAGGTATTCTATCCACATGCCATGAATTATGAATAATTCAGTGTGGCAAATATTTTGGATTCAGTAGTTGAAAATTAAAAAGTGAGATGTGTCCAAGACTTTATCCCAGAATTGGGGAATCAAGGTATTTGGGAAGGGCCACCTTCCTAGCTCCTCTACATTGCAAGAGTTACATTGTAAGTGTTCTCACATACCTGTCCTAAAACCCACTGAAGCTAAAGGCATCATACTGTGTGTTCATGCACATGTAACTTGGGGAGTATGCATTTTAGTGCTGTGTGAATTGCTCAAAAGTTTACCGCAAGTCTAGTTCAGCCATTTATAGCCTGAATCCCCTTTATGTGTTAATTTGTTGTAGCACATTTTCCATCAACTGCTGTGGTAATAATGGAGTTTGTTGTCTGACACCTGAAGGATCCAGGTTCTGGTAGGGTGGCCTTACATGTCTATGATTTAGTGATGTCATTCAAAATGACTCATCCTATACCATGCTCTTTTTATACATACAGATGGAAGAGTTTACAATAATAGCCACAAACAGGAGAAATTGTGCCCTACTCCTGGTAACGTGAATTGCCATACATACAATTTGAAAGCCATGGGAAGTAGCTAAAAAAATAACAAGACTCTCCTCCATCTCTATCCTGGATTACAGCAGATTAAGTAAATCTGCATCCAGCAAGATAGTATAAGAGATATACAACATGCTGTAACTGGATGAAAGGTGGACAGGCAGTTGTAATCTGAAAAGCAAATAAGATTTAAAAGAAAGCATCTTAAATTTAATCTTACAAGTATAAATGTGTATGTATATATGTATGTATGCATTGTTCCTGGTTTTGTATTCCAATTGTCCTACCATCTGGTCATATAAATAGCACGTTTTTGTTTCCAACCCTGTTCAATTTTTTGAACGTTGCAGAGAAGGAACTTGCATGAATGTACTTGACTGACATAGCTAAAAATGTTCTTCAAGAGAATCCTTATAGAAGAACAAGGGGAAAAATTTGTACAGATAGGTGGATAGGTTGTAACTTGGGGAGTATGCATTTTAGTGCTGTGT